ACACTCTAGGTAGCATGCATGTACTTAAAATTTGGTAATGTGCAATGTCACATCACATCAGAAGGAGATTTTCACTGCAGACACTCAATAGGTATGGCATAGGAAGGTGCTGTGCTGTCAATCATCCTCTGTAGATAGGGCAGAGGTATGCAGGCAATGTCATTGGAGGGTCCTCCTTTAAGTGCAAACTCTGAGCCAAGGTGGCACAGGAGAAGGCAGAATTGCTTCAGTTTTATTTATTGTGTACTAAATGTACTCCCAGGAGTCATACAGCATGCTGACCCCCTACATCCCGCCATATATCCCAGGCTCAACTGCCTCTTCTGCAGGCTTGGGACCAGCATGGCTGGTGTCGATGGGGAAAGCAGAGGGAGATCTGCGAATATACTTTTGTTGATCTCCTCTCAGTAAATGAACCTGCAAGCAACAAGGATTTCATCACTTTGTCACTTCGATATTATATTGTGTTTTGTGTGCACTTAAATTAATTTATATATGTTTTTTACTCAATGTTTCGGTTTGATAATCTAAAATTCTTGTAAACTATTTAAATAATAATAATAATAAACGAAATAATAATAAAATAATAATGATAAATAAAAATAAACTAATAATAATAATTTAAAAAAATAAACTAATAATAAGCTAATAATAATAAACTAAATAATAATAAAATAATAATAATAAACTAATAATAAGCGGATGTATGACATAATAAATAACAATTGCCACCATTTTCTTTTCCATGGTCTTTGCTATCAAGGTTTAAGCAAATTTCTAACCTAAAATGCATAACATTTGTTTTTGTTTTTAAAGGCGCTGGCAGAGCAAGGGTTAGAGGATGAGATAACCTGATTAGTGTTAAGTTTTGCCACATATGAAAACACATTTTACTTACAATTCATTTTTTTCCACTTCCTGGTCCCCTTGGGGACAAATGATGTAATTGTGCCCAAGCATTGCATCCTTGGAAGGTTACATCAGCAAAGCATTGCTGGGAAATCTCATCTGTAATCTCATGAGATCCCAGGGAAAGGCATTTTCTTCCCCTGAGAGGATGGACATGGTAACATGTGTCAGAGATCCAGGAAGTAAAGAGAGATCTAGTAACCTGCCCTTAGTTAAAATAGTCACTGTAGGAAACCTGGGAAATGAAAGAGAAATACAAAGTCTTCAATTATCTAGAAGTATGTGTTTGTAGATTGTCATTACTACACATTTCTAAAGGAGTGTGTGTTGTTATTTTGAAGATATGGGTAAAGTTCCTCTTTAGTAAAAAGATTTGCAGTTTATTGATCAGCCTGGTAAGGAAGTCATTGCTGTGGGTTGCCGTAATTGTACATTGTTTCTTTACATAAGCCTGAGTGTCCAGCATCGGTGCAGAACTTCAGCTGGGGTCCCTCACCACTGTGGCTTGTTGATGAATACTGTCTGTGACTCCTCAAAGAGACAGTGATTTATTTTCATATGGTGACCTCCAGCAGGCCTTACCAGGGTTTTCCTGTCCACATGAAATGGTATGAAACCAAAAGTCCTGACTCTACATAGCATGTTCAGCCTTCAGAGGCCCTTGGCTGTTGGTTCTTATGCGTTACTCTTGCCTCTCCACAGTCCAATACTCTTATTTTTAGTAGGGTGTCTCGGGGACAATATATAAACATGTGCACCCAGAGATCAAAAATAAACTGTTAGGCAATTTGTGGTGTCCAAATATAGCAGGTTTGTTTGTGACAGTCTTCTCCATATAATTAAATCACCACTTCACATAAACTCTGTACATTGCACAACTTTATTCTGACAGCTAAGCCCTCTGTGTGAACCTGTGTTGCGCGGATATGAACGGGAAGTTGTTAGTGCATCTGTGATCACGGGCATGGTTATTCCTCCTACCAACACAAATGATGAGGCAGTGACACCAAGGATGTGGCACTTTTCCTCCCACTATCACAGATGATATGGCACTATTCGTCTCACTGACACCAATGATGGGGCACTATTCTTCCCAATGACACCAGTAATGGAGCACTATTTCTCCCACTGAAATGAACGATGAGGCACTATTCCTCCAACTGATAACAGCGATGTGACACTATTCCTCCCACTGATACCAAGGATGTGGCACTATTCCTCCCACTGACACCAACGGTGGGGCACTATTCATCCCTGTAACACCATCAATGGAGCACTATTCCTCCCACTGATACCAGCAATGGGACTCTATTCATCTCACTCACACCAATGATAGGGCACTATTCATCTCATTGACGCTAACCATAGTGCACTATTCATCTCATTGACGCTAACCATAGGGCATTATTCATCTCATTGACACAAATGATGGGGCAGTATTCATCTCATTGACCCTAATGATAGGGCATTATTCATCTCACTGACACCAATGATGGGGCACTATTCATCTTGTTGACACCAATAATGGAGCACTATTCATCTCATTGACACCAGTGATGGTGCACTATTCATCTCACTGGCACCAATGATGGGGCACTATTCATCTCACTGGCACCAATGATGGGGCACTATGCATCTCACTGACACCAATGACGGGGCACTATTCATCTCACTGGCACCAATGAAGGGGCACTATTCGTCTCACTGACACCAATGACGGGGCACTATTCATCTCGCTGGCACCAATGATGGGGCACTATTCATCTCACTGGCACCAATGATGGGGCATTATTCGTCTCACTGACACCAATGATGGGGCACTATTCATCTCACTGGCACCAATGATGGGGCACTATTCATCTCACTGACACCAATATTGGGGTAATTTAATTATATGGGGAAGTCTGTCAGATTGTGCCATGCATGGAGGCCCCTAATTATATTCCTGTCTATAGATTGCTGCTTGCATCATCCAGTGCAATGTGTTGCCAGAAAATATGCACAAATCTACCATATATTTTTGAGATTCCCCTTTTATATGGGGCTAAATAATAGCAAAGGCAGGAGCCAGATGGAAGCAGATTGAAAAAAAGAAAGTGTGTATTTATTTGTTTTTGTTTGTTTTACACATATTATTGATTATCGTGTTTCAGCACAGAAAACCGTCTGTCTATATGAACTTCATTTAGTGACACTTGATGAGAGATGAAACTGTACACTTATGTGGTTTGTACCTGCTGCGTGTTGTAGAATTATACATTTAGAGTCGTCAGTTATGAATAATTCATCAGGGACATTTTGTCTTAAACTGTTCTCTGCTGATAGCAGTGTGGATTCTGAGGAGTAATTGAAAACGTAATTTATATGTGTAGATAACAGAGACATGAAAAGCTGCTTTCATAGAAAGAAGAATCCTGGATCCCCAAGTCTTAGAGGATTCTCTCTGCAGAACTGGAGATTTACCTAACAAAGGATCAGTAGGTCCTCAGTAGATCATTGGTAGATCCTCAGTAGATCATTGATAGATTCTCTGTAGATCATTGGTAGATTCTCAGTAGATCATTGGTAGATTTTCAGTAGAGACATTGGTAGATTCTCAGTAGATAAAACCAATAGATCATTGCTAGATTCTGTGTAGATAATTGGTGGATTCTCAGTAGATCCTCGGTAGTTCATTGCTAGATTCTCAATAGATCATCAGTAGATCATTGATAGATTCTCTGTAGATCATTGGTAGATTCTCTGTAGATCATTGGTAGATTCTCTGTAGATCATTGGTAGATTCTCAGTAGATCATTGGTAGATTCTCAGTAGATCATTGGTAGATTCTCTGTAGATCATTGCTAGATTCTCAATAGATCATCAGTAGATCATTGATAGATTCTCTGTAGATCATTGGTAGATTCTCAGTAGATCATTGGTAGATTCTCAGTAGAGACATTGGTAGATTCTCAGGAGATCCTCAGTAGATCATTGATAGATTCTCTGTAGATCATTGGTAGATTCTGAGTAGATCATTGGCAGATTCTCAGTAGATTCTCAGTAGATCATTGATAGATTCTCTATAGATCATTGGTAGATCATGAGTAGATCATTGATAGATTATCTATAGATCATTGGTAGATCATCAGTAGATCATTGATAGATTCTCTGTAGATTATTGGTAGGTTCTCAGTAGATCTTTAGTAAATCCTCAGTATATCATCAGTAGATTCTCAGTAGATCCTCAGTGAATCCTCAGATCTGAGCGGTCTTGTCATAAGAGAGAATCCTGCACTGCCCCTCTGCTGAGAACATCCCACCAATGTTTACCTTCAGCCAGCCAGTCCTCTTTTCCCCACTAAATCCCCATAGACCTCTATGGGGTCATGAGACAGGTGACGTAGAAATCTTTGGGGTTTTATTGGGCAGTGGAAAGAAGAGGGCCAACCGTTTTGAGATAAAAATCAGAAAACATTTTAGAAAGTTTTCATACCCTTTAGAAAAATGAACAGTACCAAAATTCTTCAGCATCCTGTCCAGCTTTTGATAATCTTTTTTCAATATTTAGTTCAAGAGATGGTTTTGGTTGAATACATTGGCACAAATGTGAAGGCACAGTGCTGCATCAAGGCGTCCCCAAAGTGTGGTCCTGGGTTACTCCTTGGGTAGCACCTGAGACATATACAAACACAGATTAAGCTGGATTCCCACTGTGTACTGTCAGTATACATGCAGTTTTATCTGATTTATAATGCACATAACTGTTTTCATGCATTTTGTGGTGTTGCCCTACATGTAGTTTGAATATTCTCATACTGCAAGAAGGAAAGCATGGGGAAGAAGGCAAGAGTGGGATGATGCTTTGTTCTAGATGGAACAGACAGGTGACATAGGCGGCAGCAGAGCTGACTATCTGGATAGTTCTGTTTCGTACAGTATGGTAGACATGTACAGTATGAGTCGCTGACAGAATGTTGACTAACCTCAACTAACTGCAGTCTAGTTTTATCTCTGCATGTACAATGATAAAACAACATATGATATATTTATTACCACTGTACATTGATCTTAATATTGTATGATTTACATTTCTACTCTGTCTTCTCTAGGGGATGAAGAGTTCTGCTCGTAATATGAATGCACAGAGCACTAAGGGACAGGGCAGCCATGGGACAGAACGAGCAAAATCCATTCCAACAATTGCCTTTGGCATGAAAACCTCCAGGTCAACCAATTCTCTAGCGTTCGAGTCACGGCTGAGCAGGGTAAGAGAATGGCGTGAGCCCAAACTGATCATCCACCCATAATATCCATGGTATAGCAGTATGGGGGCTTGTGTGGTGTAGGTGCCATCAGATAGGGACTATCTGTGGCTAGTATTGTGTATATTATGCTTTGTTACAGCTACCAGTGCTATACATCTTTACTCTGAAATTGCTTACAGGAGGTACTAATGCATGGGAAAACTAATTTCAACATAAACGGCACGCATACTGTATAAATAAATGTGCAGCAGCATAACTAATAATGCGGCTACAAGCAAACTAGCAAACTAACTATGACTAGCCACATAATCCATTTAAGAGGAACTCCATCCAATTATACCATGCAGAAGTCCTTAATGTTCCATTTTCATTGCTGTCTCTTTTGGGGAGCTTTTCCCTCACTTCCTGTCCTGGTGACAACATGGAATTGTGAGCTGAAGTCCTGATTCTTATATTTTGATTGCATTCACTATATACACATATCAGCCATAACATTATAACCACCCGCCTAATAATGAGTAGGTTTCCCTTTTGCTGCCAAAACAGCCCTGACCCATCAAGGCATTGATTCCACTAGACATCTGAAGGTATGCAGTGATTTCTGGCAGCATGTAGTCAGTAGCAAATCCTTAAGTCCTGTAATTTGGGAGGTGGGGCCTCCAATGGATTGGACTTGTTTTTCCAGCACATCCCACCAATGCTCGATTGGATTGAGATCTGGAGAATTTGGAGGCCAAGTCAGCACCCTTAACTCAACACCGCTTCAAATCAGGAACATCCCACAAGAGCTGCAGTTTTGGAATTGCTCTGACCCAGTTGTTTAGTCATCACAATTTGGCTCTTGTCAAAGTCACTCAAATCCTTACGCTTGCCCATTTTTTCTGCTTCCAACACATCAATTCAGGGACAAAATGTTCACTTTCACCCTTATATATCCCACCCACTTTCAGTTACCATGTAACAAGAGAATCAGTGTTATTTACTCCACCTGTCAGTGGTCATAATGTTATTGCTGTTTGATGTATTTCTATAAAGTATCCACGAGAGAGCCAGTCTCAACCTCTCCTAGCGGGTTCTCCAAAGGAATGCCTGTTTACTTTAGTATCCAAATGGGTCTATTTATAAACAATTCACGGAGACAATCACGCTGCCAATATCTGTGAACATTTGCTCTGTGTGAATATATACGCTGAAACAAATGTTCTTTAGGTTTTTTTTCACAATAATATCACAATACGGCCACTAGATGGAGCTAAAAGAGCATATGAAATAACTATTTATTTTCTATATTCCTCAGTGCCATCTAGTGGCCATATTGCAATATTACATAAAAATAAATTGAAAAAACATTTCCTTGTAAAGAAACACCTAAAGAACATTCGTTTTGACGTACTGTATATCGCGCAGAGCGATCATTCACCCAGGGCTGTTCGCCCTCCAAATAGCTTATAAATAGACCTCTTAGTGTCACTGTGACAGGAATTGAGATGAATCTCTGTGGATAACCTGCCTTTCCCCACTCTATTTAAGGGCACATTTACACTTTTAGATTCTAAGTGCACACGTTGCAACGTACTAAGTGTGCTTAAATGGTCATGTCTTTCCCATAATATAAAAAGTGCCTGTTTTCATCTCTGCAGTACAGTGCATTTTGAAAAATATGGCATGTCTATTTTTTCCTGTGTTTTAGTGCATTAGGAGCCCCACAGAAGTCAATGGCAACACATACAAAATGCATGTAACATGGGTTTTGATACATTGGCTACAGATATTTACAAGCCTTGGCCAAGAGTTACTAACTCCGTCCATTCCAAATCCCAACTTCAAAAACACATATGAAATGTGTGTTTGCACACGCGGTGCCGGATTTCCCACAAGGCCAACCGAGGCCCGGCCTCGGGGCAGCAGGGAGTAGAGGGGCAGCAGGGGTGTGGAATTCCTTTCTCCCGACGCAAGGGACATGTAGTTTCGGGCGCCAGGCGGGTAGTTTTCTACATTTAGCCCTGCTCTGGACAAGCAGGGCTAAATGTAGAGCGGGGAAGCCACCGCTCGTTCTGTACAAGTGATAAGTAAAAAAAAATGTAAAACCAACCCTGCCTCCATGCCATCTGGGGGAGAAATTTAGTTGGGAGGGGGGCAAATTAAGGAACCTGGCCTTGGGGTAGCAGAGAGAGTAAATCCGGCCCTGAGCGCACGTCAATAATGTACTGTATGTCAGCAGACAAAGGAAATGCACATTGACGTATGATAACACAGCTGTCTAATGCTACAAAAACACACCTCACGCACACACATAAATCTCAATGGATCCCTAAGGATGAGTACACATTTAATAACAACTACCAGATTCCTCTCTCCCAGCAAGAGCAAATATGCCAGTATAACTACAAACAGCTGATGAGCAAACACTGAATTCTGTATTACATTGTCTTCCGTGCTTCTTTTGGCACTTCCATCACCTTTTTGTATTATCTACGTGGACCAATACTATATTCTCTGTGGTCAGGCTCAGTACATGCACAGGATATTTGAGGCTTCTGTGAGCGCTGGAGGATAGAAACACTGGACAGGCCGGGAAGTGAACGCTTACATTTGTAGTCATTTGTGGTATGCAGTTACAATGACATTTTCTCTCAGGATTGCCTCAGGGTGAGGAATCCTTCATTTCTAGTTAAATGTACAGTTATCCTTTAAAACATTAACTACTTTAATAAAACCTTTTCCCCAGTGCTTCAAGAATCTAGAAAGGTTAGAGATAGAGATAATCCGTGAAACCTCATTCAGATTCATTTCAAGGTTGCCTTTAAAGGAGAACTATGAGGTGAGTGCTTTTCACTCACCTCATAGTTCTAGCCGACCTGTGACAATGAGACTGTCACAGGTCGGCTCAGTAGATCGGGAGGTGAGCGAACACATACCGGCGTTCGCTCACCACTCGATCCTGTCACAGCTCTCTGCCGTGACAGGGTAGGGGCTGGATTCCCCCCTTCCCGCTCCGATCCTCCAGCGCTGACTGGCGGAACGGACGGGGGAGGGGGCGGGGACAGCTGGCTCTCCCTCTAGATAGGCAGAGCCAGCTGTCTCTCACGCAGCTGGGCGGATCCAGACACAATTGTCGGGATCCGCTTCAACTGCAGCGTCTCAGTATACCGCGAGCTGTAGCTCGCGGTATACTGAGCCTAGGGTGACAGGAGGACGCTAGTTTGTGTCCTCCCATTACTCTAAGGAGAACTATGGGGAAAAGCCCTAACCCTATAGTTCTCCTTTAAAGACAGAGGGGGTTTTGCACACATCCTCCATCACCCAAAATGTAAAACCTATCCAAAATTAGAAATAAAATCTTCTTTAAAGCTGAACTGCAGCAGGAAAATTAATGGATTGCGTGGTCTAAAGAGCAGCAGTTGTAATGAGTAGAAATGTGCGATTAGTTTTGTTCCGAAACGAAATTTGGACGAATTTTCGTAAATGTATCCGAATGACAGATATAACGAATGCAAACTAATCCGAATTTCCTTTTCCGAAATTCATTAGCGGAAGTTCATTCAAACGTTCGTTTCGTTTTAGTTTCTTATTCGTTTCGTTCGTTTGTTCGTTGCAGCAAAGTGACATTAGAGAAGGAGAAAAACATTTTTTTACCCCCTCAAATGTCACTTTGCTGCAACGAACGAACGAATGAACAAAACGAATAAGAAACGAACGTTCAAACGAACTACCGCTGACAAATTCCTTTACATTATTTTTTTTTTAAAGGGTAATGTATTAAGCTGAGTTTGAAATTAAATATAAGTGTTTTGGGGGCATATTTAGGGTTTAAACTATATAAAAAATGCTTTTATAGGCATTTTTTGACCACATTCAAAATTTGCGGTTTTTCACAATCCACAGGTGCTCTATGAACGTAACCCCCGCGAATTTTGCGGGTCAACTGTACCGCACTGAGCAGTATGCACAATAAACTATATACTGAGACAATAGCCCATGGTGAGCCATTCTCTTGTTTGTTGCAGCTGAAAAGAGCAAGTAGCGATGACATGCTCACAAAGCCAGTGGGCATTACAGCTGCCACCACCTCCAGACTGAAGAAGACCATTACTACAGGCGCCATCTCAGAGCTGTCTGAGAGCAAGTACAGGAGCACCACAGGTAAAAGATTGCTGAAATTATTGTTACTATGCAGGATTTATATAGCGTGAACAGTTTGCACAGCATTTTATACAGAATTACAAAGTTCTTGAATGTTTCCCTAACATTTGTCTTATTATATCCTGCTCCATTCATATAATTAATATCAAACTGGGCTGCTTTATAAAGAAAACTGAACAATAAAGGTGCCCATACACCTTACGATTATCGGACGAAACGCTTCGTCCGATGATCGAATAGTCGTGCGATTTTCGTACGGCAGCCCCATCCTGCCCCGATGATCGCATGATTAATTTAGCCGTAATTAACGAAAAGCACCTGGACGAAATGCGGTAATTGATTTGTCGTATTTTCGTTCGCGCATGCGCAGTGTAGATCGTACGACTTTTGACAGACGGAAACGCCAGCAACCTTATGACAATCGTACGATCGAGCAAAGTTTTCAAACATGCTTGACCGTCAAAAGTCGTACGATTGTACAGTAATGTCGGTTCGGGCACTCTATTCACACGTACGATTGTCGTTCGAACAGTCGATCGCATACGATTATCGTACGATAATCGTAAGGTGTATGGGCACCTTAAGACTTTAAAAATCGAATCTATTGTTTTGCACCTGGAATGTATTTAGCTGATTGAAACTAAAAAATCATTTGGGCTCATTGGGTCCACTGTTGTAATAGGAAGGCACAAATGGTGGGGAATTGAAGAGTAAAAACATTAGGTTTTTGCAGTGCTTCAATTCCAGCAGTAATATCAGGTCACATAGCCCACATCTGGGCTTTATTATGGGTGCCAACATAAGCAGAACATTCATTCAATTACACTGAAGATTCTGCTGATGACAGCGCCTTAGTGCAGTACCACTTTGGACCCAGGATCTACGATGAAGAAGCAGTGCTGCACAAGACCACCAGTTTCCAACTAGAAGGTATACTTTTGTACTGTGGTACCCATCTTGCCTCTCTAAAGAGCACCTAAACTTGGATATTAGGTCCGATTTAACACTAAGTGTTATTTATAGATATACAGTTTGTTGTCAGTTTAGCTAAGCCACTTGTGTGGAGTATCTATTTGGGATTGGGAGTTTCCACCTCATTAAAATTATTTCACAGATTGGGAGGGGATCTCCTCACTACATTCCTGAACACCAGTCAAGACTCTGTCAGCGAAAAAGCCCATTTCTTTCCACACATCACAGATTATGTTGCTGTTTAACAGGTAATGATGGATGGGCAAAGGTTCTCTTGTTGATGGTCAATGAGAATTTGGTGGGAACACAGCTATTCTTTACCATTACAGTACTATTTCTCTGAAAATGTTGACACTATTCTCCTTTTGTATGAGTGAGAGATAATTCATCTGCTGACATAAGCCTTTAACCTCTTGCCGTCCGCCCGTAGTAAAAAAACGGACGGACGGCACTGCAGCATCTGCGGGTTGCCGTCTCCAGACGGCAATTTTTTTCTGCTCGCGCGCGCCCCCTAGCGGGCACGCATGGGCAGAAAAGACCCGCTAAATGCACACACCCGTTACCGGGTGTTTCACATATAGGCGATCGGCGGGTCCATAGCCCGC